TAAATACATCATTTGGCTMTATTTACTGCTGCTCTTGAGGCCTCCTACATAGCAATACAGATACAAATACACGAAAATAAGTAAAAGCATTATGAAAACAAATGGCAACCTAGGCCATTGCTCTGAGTTTTATGGGTGGTAGTAAAAATTAAAAATTGTTACACTTCACCTTCCKTTAGTATTAAGGAAGCCTTATAGAGAGGAGCTCAGCAGGGAGAAGTAGCAATTCTGCTGGGATGTGAAGGGTGCCGGCTCTTTATTCTGGGGTACCTCCTGTTTGCTCTGTTGCAAGATTTTATTTAGTCACTACACTTTAAACCAAGCCTATTTCTTTCTAACTAAACAAGAATTCCAAAACCTGTTTAATTATTCTTCTGATCTGGACTAGTGAAGCTGATGCCTGATTAGTCCAAGTTGTGCCTGTCACGGCCTCTGGCCTCCTTCAATCCTGTGTGCTGAGGCTTGCTGCAGAGAAGGTGCTCTGAGCCTGAACCCAGGCTTACCTGCCCAGGATCCCAGCAGTGCCACTGCGGAGGGTTTAGGACTGTGAGCCTTGCACCAACCAGTGCTGACAAAACCAAAAAATTACTGTCAAAGTGTAATGGTGTTGGGTGTTCTGCCTGCTTGATGCATTTGTGTGAATGAGTTTTGTGTTTCTGAGTAGAGGAAACGGGAATGAAGGAACCGAGACTCTGGCTGGAACAATCCATCTCTGTCTCCAGCCTTGAGGTGTCTCAAATTGGACGGAAGTGCTCACCGAAAATAACAGGGATGACTGTCCCTACTGAAAAAACTTCCCTCTCCACTGACAGGTCAAGGTGAGGAAGAGCGAGAGTGAGGCAGGGGCACCAGCCCGCASGCCTTGCCAGCTGGAGGCGGGTGCAGGCGGCTCCTGTGGGTGCTGCTGCCAGAGGCACCGCTGCTTTTGMGGAGAAGACCAGGCAGGCAGAGGTGAGGGAGGTGAAGGATGTGCGTGGGCCAGGGTCAAGTTTGCTGGCTTAGAGCTTCAAATGTGAGTTAATCTCTTTCTTTTATTGGAATACCAGTATAATTGGAGTTGTTCTTATTCATGTAAGTAGTAGCGCTCTTAAGAATGGTCTAAATTTTACRTTTGCTATAATCTCTTAGCAGGCCRTTCCTTATGTGCCAAATTTGTGCAAATGTGCCTTTCAGTATGAGAGGCTGTTCTTTTGTTCATGCATTACACAAAAGGGTAAACAGAAGCATTGCTTATGCCCTTTGTGTAGTACTCTTGTTTTCAGCTCTCTACAGTCTTCCTCACCATTTTTTAAGATGCACACTATTACTCTTGATCTCTCTTCAGGAAAAAAACTGTGACCTTCTCCGTTTCTTTCCTCCAGCTTCGTGAGGGACTTATGTTTGTTTTCTAAGTGACAAGGTTACCAATGGTTCCCATTACAAAATACTTGTTATTTTGTTCTACTTTCCATTCCTACTGTTCATCAATATTTAAGTCTCACTTAAACATGTCCACCAAGTTGCTTGGTCAGCAATGACTGGTTTGCAGGAACACACAGGGCTCCTCAAGTTCTTTAGAAAATGTGAAGTTTATTGATCATGAATAGCCTAAACTATTCCTTACAAATGTAAAGCTTAAGATTGCCCCTTGCCTTTATCACTAATTTACCTGGCCTTTACACCTAATTTGCTAGTTCCYGCTGAAAGACTGACTCTTCAGAAGTTCTATTTAACTTTTTAAAAAAATGTGTCTAATCTTCAGCTTTGAATATTATATCAGTGTCATATATTTTCCTCAGCAATAATGAAACTATTAAAACATATTGGCCCTGCTACCAGTTTGAGATAATATTTTGCCTTTTGAAAAAGACATTACTTTTTTTTTTTTTTCTCCTCTTAGATAGTTTAGGGATTAGAATCATTTTCTCTCTTACCCTTGACTGGTCATGWTGCTTTAGTATCTCTGTTAAGGGAATTTTCAGAGCTTTATGGAAACTACTACTAATTATGTCAGCTGTTTCCTCTCCACCACTATATTATTACGTCTTTYGAAATGTTCTGGTGAATTAATTTTCTTTAAAAATTCTCTGATTTAATCTTGAGTTTGTGTTTCATGCTGGTGACTTCTTCTAAGGACAAAAGGATTGATACTTTTATTTTGACTAAGGACTGGAGCTTTCAGGCATAACCATCAAAACTTAATCTTAAATTTTTCCTTGAAAGGGTCTGTACTTAGTAACTTTTTTTTCCATGATACCAGACACGATCTAATTACCACAGTCAGCATATGAGGCACCAAAGGAAAATGTTGGATCTGACTTCTTTACTATTTCCTTAACGATGAAACAAAACTGTTGTAAGTTACAAACTATCATTAATGAATATTTGTAATCAACACACTCAGCTAGGGTGGTGAAGCCTCTGCAGCTACCTGCCTGGAATAATGTGAATACCACATGTATTTTGCTTCTTCAGAAGAAAAATCAGGGCATTTCACATCATTCATGAAGGCTCCACAGGTGTCTTGAAAAGGCAGCTCTGAATTTCTGAAAGAAAGCTGAAAGACCCGAGACATAACAACAGAGCATCTAAATCCCTTCCTTGTCTGCTCAGCTGCAAGACAGGACAGTCCACCCCAGGAACTCCTGAGAGGCAGATCCAGAGATAATTTTTCAACCTTTCTTACAACATTATCCTAGAGGTGGGAACTAATCAGCTGAGAAAAAGATTCTAAGTTCTGTAACAGGTTCATCACAACCTCTTTGGGGGGAAAAAAAAAAAGCCCCCCTCCTAATGAGGCTCTAATGAAAAATTCCTGCTTGTCTCTTTTTCTATTTCATGGACCTCTATTGCCCAGCCATAGCCTTGACATCWGAAATGTCTTCTGCTCTCCAAGGTCTGTTCTCCTGTATCCAACTCACTGACTTTTGAGAAGTGAGAGATGAATTTTCCAGGTTAACAACTGGCTGTGCCACTGGTGTTGGCAACAGGGTTTCTGTTTCTGTGACCAGGGAACCCTGTTCAAAGACTGACAACTAATGGGGAGAGATGGGAGCCACCTGAGCAGGCAGCGCACACGTGTCTTTGCCGACAGGTTGGCCAGCCTGGCTAGGAGGGCTGTGAACTAGACAAGACGGTGGAAGGCGAGTGACGGTGACAGGCAGTCAGGGTAACACGGCCCCAGTCCGGATATCTCTAGTAGGTGCATGAGGATGAGGGCCTGTGATCGCGAGGCCTCTTCCAGCTGTCCGTAGGCCTCATGGATGTCCTCGTCCTGATTCGGTGGCCTGCAGCAAATACCCACAACAGTGTCTCCCAGGTTAGCCTACCCTTTAATCCTTACCCACAAGCTTTAACACCCTCTACATCTATCCATTGGCAGAGCTCTGTGCATTCCAGTTGCTCTCTCATATAAAGAGTAATCCCCCCACTTCACCTTAAAAGCAGTAGCCATCCATGAGGATGGGGCCATACTCTTTCCAATGGTGCCCAGCASCAGAACAAGAGGCAATGGCCACAGAGTGAAGTGCAGCAAGTTCCTCCTGAATTTGAGGAAAAATTTCTTGATTGTGAGGGTGACAGAGCACTGGAAGAGAGCTTTCAGGGTCTCCTTCTCCGGATGTTCAAAACTCACCTGGATGTGATCCTGTGTAACGTGCCCTAGGTGACCCTGCTTGTGTACAAGGGTTGGACTAGATGATCTCCATGTCTCTTCCAACCTTAATCGTTCTATGATTCTGTGATCTGTTTACACAGAGCTACTTCACTTTGCYAGACAAATAACCTAACCACAGGTTAGTTGTTACCCTTTCTTTTGACTGAAGTCACTGCAGTCATTATAAAAGGTCCTTTCCTACATAGCTTTGCCATCTTAGGTGTCTATTTCTTGAGTCTTTGCAGTTCTGAAGCTGATGGAATCTACAAGCACATAGTTCTTTTCCTTGTGGAAAGGAAAAATAGGTCTAAGCTTGGTAAAAAGCTATCATGGTAAAAATGTTTCTTTCCCTTCTCAATTTATAAGGAAATTCATAAAAAATAAATTCAAATAAATGAAAGGAAATGTCAAGAAAACCACATTCTTAAAGCTCTTTAAAAAGGTTTGCAACATGTTTGTGTGGAATATGTAAAGTTTAACTGTATTCATTCCTTTAATTACAAGATTCTATCCACTTTTTTACTGTGGAAATTAATTAAACAATAAAGGCACTTCTCAGATTTCTAAATATAGGCTAATTAAACAACAAATGGTTTCATCCTCAAGACAGATATCCACTAAAAGGAATATAATCAGACTGAACTGGGTTTGTGTTCTTAATTCATTTGTGGAACTGTAAGGCCCTCTTCTGGATTATAAATTATTGCAAGTCTAAGCAAAGTACATGGAAACATGCTAATGCTCTGAAAAGACACACTATTTCAAAGCTATTTTTTCATACTATTAATAATTCAGTTTCCTTATTTTTATATGTATCTGACTGCACATTTCAGTTATTGTGACTTAGTGACTAAAAATGAATCCWGTTAGTAGCAAGTTTTTAACTATAAAGTGTTTCATATGCTAAAATTCATGAGTGAACAATCTAAAGAGTTTACAATCTCAACCACTTTATATGAAAATGCTGTTAGAAGTGACGCTTGCTTATGCTAATTAACACTTRTAAATTTAAATTAAAAATGCAGTTCTGCATACATACTTGTTTACATATGTATGTAACTTGTCCAAGGTATTTTTGAAAATTTGGCTTGCACTAGAGAAGAAAGAGCAATGAAGAACTATTACAATGGTCTTACTTCCAAGCCACAAGGGCTGCACAGTTCCTTATATGTCTTTTGATTCCTAAATAGTCAAACACAGACTGTGACATGGTTACAACACCTTCCTCCAAGTGATTTACTTATGTGCCTAAGCAACTAYCTACTTTTGAAAAACAAGGTACTTTTTACTATCATCGTTAGTAAGAATGCTATAGAGAACATATTTTAAACATAGTTTAAACATAGTTTAATTTAAAGGAGGACACTGAAGAAATCTTTCCATATTGCTATTCTGCAGGTTTCTGTATTCCATCAGTGCCAGATGAACTACGTTTTTTCTTCTTCCGTACTTTTGATTTTGGAGCTGCCAAGAGAACAGAAAMAAAACATCAGAAATTAATTACAATAACTTTAATGCCAGCATTCTGTGTGGCATTCTGTGTGACTTTAATGCCAGCATTTACTGTGTGCAGTTCTGGGCTCCCCAGTATAAGAGGGATGTGGAGCTTCTCGAGAGGGTCCAGAGAAGGGCAACCAGGATGATTAAGGGAATGGAACATCTCTCGTATGAAGAGAGGCTGAGTGAGCTGGGCCTGTTTTCTCTGG